GCTCAGTTATATATAAAATATGTAAGTCATCTTTTCCATTTGCCTTCCCAAGCTGCAAATTCCTCTTCCTTATTTCCCTGAAGCAGAAATCGGAGCTGCATGCTATTCTTCACAACTCTTAACGACAAGATAGGTAATAACAGATCAAGTATAGCAGTAGATGCAAAATACATGTTAAAGGATTGACCAAGTTCTTGAATTCTTCTCAATAAGCCAAAAGATAATGACAGAAAATTAATTTTCTATTTTATCTTCACATTCTCAACTCTGCTATTCCTTCTTGCATGATTTTAGTAGTGTACCTGGGATGGAAAGCTACCACAAGTAGGCAGTTGAAGCTGCTAGCACAGGAGGAAATGCACAGATATTAGAGAGTAGTACTTACGTCTCCCCTTCTGGGCACCATGGCTAGCACAACAGAAACATACGTCTTTACTACATAAAAGATTAGGGGAGAGATGGCTGTTGACCAGAATATACTGTGCTGCAGTGGTACAGGACAATATAAAAGCCTCTAGAGGCCAGTACAACTTAGAGGGCTACTGAGTCCCTGTCAGGTCTGTGCAGGTGACAGGAAGATATCCACATTGTCAAATGAGAACATGAGAAAGGATGTGGGTTGGCATATGCTCTGTCTATATTTACAGCTTCTGTATTCAGACATTGAAGAACAAAAGCCTTGGAAAACTATCTATGGGTTAGCTGTTTCTTGTAGGAGGGCCTGCAATGGCACTGAAGTACTTTGATCTCAACTCCTTGAAAATGAAAGCTAGTCTTTCCAGTTTGAGGGATCTGTCAGTAAAATCAAACTAAGGAATGTCCTTCTCTCTTTCAATTTGCTTTCTTATTTGTCTTTGATTTATATATTCTGCTCTATAACAGTTTCTTTCTTAAAAGTATTTTACTTTCTTATGTACAAAAAGAAATAGACTTTCCCCACTACGAGCATAAAATATTTGATACTACAAATGCCCAAATCACCCTGTAACTGCTGACAAGATCCTGACTGAACCTGCATTTTCAGCATTCATCCTTAATTTTAGACCAGAACTATAAGAAACAGAAATATAAAAGCAAAGATCAGAAAAGTGCTCTTGAGCTTTGTCTGTGATGGAGAGACATCATTAGAAAGAAGAAAATATATTAGTGTGAGCCCAAGGGTCTTACAAGAAGATCCTCCGCTCACAGAAGCTGACTTCGGTAGCTCTATAACAATTTGTACCAGCTGAGAAGCTGCTTTCAGTGTCTCCTTCTTCATCAAATTGCCTATTTCCTCCTTTGCTTCATCTGTAGAGGAGAGTCTTCTAGCTCTTTAAGATTAACGGCTGAAAAGCACTACAGACAAGCATTACTTCGTTATTTTTTCTGCACTGGGCAGCAAGTCAGCACAACTTACAAAAGCCAGTCAACAGCAACGAGCAAACTGATGTCCTGGGTAGGGAGACCCACTGCAGTAAGGATCAGAAGCATAGTGACAAGTCCCGCGCTGGGAATACTGGCAGCTCCAACACTTGCAAGGGTGGCGGTCAAACTGCAAAAACAAAAATCAAATGGGGATAGCAGGAAAAGGAACATACACTTTCATTGCATACTCATGTGATCATTAGGAAGGTCTTATTTTTAGTGATTTCTCCCCAGAAAACCCATGACTATGATAAATCATGGTGAGCTTAGGCCATAGTTTTCACACTTGTGTTTCTCCAAAAATATTTATTAGGGGAGGCCAGATCTATGGGGTTTGTTCTGAGAGTTGTAACAGAGTTGTCTGAGAGTTTTAAGTTCTGTAAGTTGGTTATGACATTCAAACCTTTGACCTGGTGTTGTTTTCTGAGCTCTACCAACACATCCAGGGTGTTGAATCCTGAGTTTTGATCATCCAGACTTGCTGAAGTTTGGTGGCTACAGGTTAAATATTCAGGGTGGTTCATTTCTGTTTATTTACGGTACTTGAAGACTGAATTGTGAGGCAATGGCTGAGAGAAATCGGTTATCAAGTACAGAAAAGTCTTGGTATCCAAGACTCCCACAGCATAAGCCAGCAATGTACCAAGTCTAGAAACAAATTACCCCAGATGAAAAAGCAAAATCCATCTTATTGTTTCATAAATCCAAACCTGTCTTTGTTTTTGCCTCTCTTTTGCCAAAAAAAATATTTTTGATGAAGACCAGTAGAGTGAATGTCTGTGCTCCAAATGTTTGTAAAAATGCAACACAGACCATAACAAATATCAACATCATTGGGCAATCCTATGAAGAATGGAAAATACATTTGTCTGAGAACAAACCAAGGGGAGAAAAACAGCGAAGAGGAGGAAAGGGAGAGGAAGGGAAAGGAAAAAGGAAAAATGTAAAAGGAAAAAGAAAAACGAAAAAGGAAAAGTTATCTCTGTCTTTTTAAATGCAGAGATGAGTAATATGGTTGTACTTATGTGGGTGTACCCAACAAATCTGAAAGTGCTTCCAACACCAAAGTAGGGAAAAAAGGTCTCTGTGGGGGAAATCCTCATCTGTTAACTACAGAACTCATCTGTGAGGATGCTAGCCTGATTCAGAGCTGGCAGATGGCTGGGTCTGACCCAGACAATCCAGGTTGCAGTGTGTTTGTCAGGTGTCTGGGTTAGAGTGCAACCTGGCCTGCTAAACACCCAGATTGGTCCATCAGGTATGTGCACAGGATGCTCTGCTCTGCCATCAGGCTCTGTGTATGGTGCCAGCTCCTCAGGCACTTCCAGCCTAAACTGGTAAGCGATTGCTTCCAAGCTCTGTGAGGAAATGCTCCTGCCAAACTTCCCACAGCAGCGCTTACAGTGCTGGAGGGGAATGAAGCTATCACTGTTCAGGTCTAAACAGAGCCTGGCTTAGCTACCATTTCCAAGATCACCCTCTCCCAAAGAAGACAGGAAATCAGAGGATCTACATGACCAATACGAAGTAACTAGGGCTGGTCAAAGGCTAACTAAGACTTTGTGAGTTTATGCCTGGGTCATTTGAATATCCTCAGTATCACAAACTGGATTTGACAGACAAAACCTAATAACCTTTCATTCATTTGTATTGCCACTTCAACAGATAGTTCTTGTCATATTGTTGTAGTAAAAATGCTATACTGCACGAAGAGGAGAACCAATGGTTTTCTTACAGATAGCCCAAAGTTGCTGCCTGCTTAGTAAATGTGAGTCACAAAGCTGGCTACACCAACCTTGAAATGGTGAGATCAGGAATAGATAATGGGTCAGTCCCTTAGAGGGGGAGAAGAGGAGTTACTTGGGTTCAATCCTACTAAACATCTTGGACAACAGCTGATTCCTGACTTGAATTTCCCTGGTCTCAATTTAGTTTAATATGTGGCATCTCTGAAATGTCTGTTTTCAGTTTCAGCAACAAATACACAAGTATAGCCTCTGCCTTCATTAGAAGCAGTGCTGAACCTTTTACAGACCTTGGCTTTACTATTTCAGGGGCTGTGGCAGGAGGTAAAGAAATGGAAAATGTGGAACTAGTATAGCTGGGCAAGAAACAGAATTAGACATCCCTTTGCAGGAGCTTCTTTAGTGTTAAAAGTGTTTAATAAAAGGAAGGTGGGTGGGTGAAAACTACAGGAAGAAGGCAAACTTGGCAGCCTTCACTTGTGGTTTCTATTTTAACTATTCAAAATGTTAGGCCTGGTGTCTTCATCAGGTTTTCCACTGTAAATTAACTTTAGCTGCAGCAGTCATAACTTTGCCATTATTTTTTATTAGTCACTCTACCTAATAGGTCTTAAAACTCCATTACAGTAAACAGTCTTTAATCACTCTTAGCCATTTTTAACAGGTACTTTCCTTTGTCTTTCCAGATATTCAGCTTAGTCCTCGATATGACAATTTGATAGGAAATGACTAAAACTAGTATTTGCTGGGTTAGAGATCCAGATGGAGCATCCAGATTATGCTGCAGGTGACCTCACCCTCTGGCTAGGCTATTCTCAGTCCATTTTTTTTGCTGTTCACCAAAGTCACAGAAAAAGTACAGGCAAGCATAAATACATGGATACATTTTTTAGGTACACTTTTTCTTCCACTATATATAACCATATACATTCTAGAAAGTTAATGCCCCATATATCACTTGTAGTGTCCCTCTACACTGAAAAAGGCATTGCATTGGCCAGAGAATGCTGTATTTTACATTGCATTGTCAACTGCAGAACTGTGTAAAACACCACCAGCATGCACTAAAGCTGCAAATGATAGAAAAGTTGTGTCACCAGAGAACCAGGACCTATGTATATGACATGCCTTTGCAAATCATTGTTAGAAATGCATGCATTTCACAGTGAATCCCACAGCTATTGAGAAGACATCCAACCCAAAGCTTCGCATTGTACAGTCTGCAGAAACAAAGCCTACGAGTATTTTGAACTGACCTTACAGTAACTATCTGGCCTCCATCCAGCTCAATTCCATTCATCTGTGCTATGAAGATGGCAGCCACAGCTTCATAAAGGGCAGTTCCATCCATGTTAATAGTTGCTCCAACAGGAAGAACAAACCTCGTTACACGCTTATCAATGCCTAGGTTTTCTTCAAGACACCGGAACGTGACCGGTAATGTTCCAGCACTGAAGAAGAAAGCAAAAAAGCAGAGAAGACATAATTACAATATAATATATACACATAAGTGAACAAAGGCAGAAATTCTGCTAGCATTGTTTACATTTTCTACTTCCACTTTCAAGCCTTTTTTAGCCAATTTTTATATTAAGTCTACATTCAGCTGGAGGTGGGACTGAGGCCAAGACACGAACATGACTTGAAGTAGGGATGAGAGCTTGTGAAAGTGTAGATGATTTTTTCAGACTCATTTATGAATTATTTCTTGCATTGTGTTCAAAAATACAAGTTCCAGATGTTTTCTGATGGACAGAATTATGAGCATAGAGACAAATCCTAAATTTTGATTGTGAATTTGCTCTGAATGGAGAAATCAGTGTTGCATTAAGGAATGAAAAATCCAGGCAAAAAGATACAACCCATGGAGTTCCCAGACACTGGAGGACAGGAAAGGATATGAACCACAGCTGGAGGATAGGAAAAGATGCGAAAGATGGCTGCAAGAGGGAAACAGCTCCTTGCACAGATCCACAGTGTCTTGCCTTTGTGGGAATAGTTCGGGTTATTACATTCACTTTTTCAAAATAAAACACTTTCATCAAAAAATACTGCTGAAAACAAAACATACTCTTTTTTTCCTGTGGATGCAAATATCATCTACTTCTTCCCTTCCCTAGCAGGTTTGCCGGCCTCAGGCAAAGGACTTACTGCAAGAAGCATGAAACCGAGCATGGGAACATGTTTTGGTTCCTTACTTTTCTGTATTACCTCTGAGGTCAAGTCCACCACTAAACGAAGCGGGTTGTTGCCTGAAAAGCTGTTCTGAAAAGAAAGCTGACCTGGGAGAATTCCTTTTAATTGGTGTTTAATACAGAAGCAGCTGGAACACATCTGTTGTGGTTTATTTGCTTTCCTCCAGCTGAGTTGGCGGACTTTCTCAAAGGTCTTCACTACTGTATCCCACTAATTCTGGTGTCATTGCCCCTACAAAAATATTGATTTGCTTTTTTTGTTAGATAAATACTCGCAGCATGTGGTTGCTACTGCCTTGCAACTTCTGGGCCTTTATGACTCATTCATTCGCCTACTACCATAGAAATGCTATTGAATACAAAAAAATGTAATCTTTCCATTTTATAGATAATTAAAACATGGAAAAGGGAGATTAAGGGATGTTTGAGATACCTAACTATAAAAAAGGTAGTATCATAATAAATGTCCTAGGTTATCTGGAACAAGCACATAAGGCTGACCTATCTTGCATGGGGTCTATGGAAAACCCAAACCCTTCTGGATTGGCAGGTGCCCCAGCCACTTGCTAAATGACTCCTCTTGTCTCACATCTATAGAAACATGAGTTAGAAGATATGAGCTTCTAGATCTCCACCTTGTGCTCAGATGACCGGACCATTCTTCATTCACAGAGGTGATTTTTTTAATAGATGTCAATAAACCAGATACACGGTACCAATCATTTGTGTTCTAGCATCTTTAGAAATATATTTGTAATTATGATTTATTTTACTGTGTTTTTAATCAAAGCTAATCAAATGCCTAATATTCTGTATGTTTAGCCAAACCAGAGAGAATTCATACTTTCTAAAACCAATGTAGTATACTCTCTCGTAAGTTACTCTAGCAGCTATATTTATAGCAAATAGCAGAAAGTATCTAGTGAGTCATTAACTGATAACTACTAGTCAGTTTTCAAGTCAGTTCCAGGAACACTTTGCCTCCTACAGCAAAGATATTCCTATATCTTATTAAAAGAAAAACAGAATGGAAAATGTAGTTCACTGACACACATTGAAACTCAGTCAGATAAGGTTCTTTTTCTTCAGAAATCCAAGCCCCACCTTACCTTCATTGTTACAAACGCGATCATCAGCACAAGGTGTGTACTGGTCATGGCCTACAATTGTTGCAATGAACCCTGGTGGGCTCAGCATGCAGGGACTATGCAATTGTCTTCCCCCTTCAGTTCTGCCACCATGAACATGACATGGCATGGTGCATGACAGGACAGGAGCAGGACAGGTGGGCAGGCCACAGACACAAGGTTTCTTTACTAGAAGAGCACAATACGTAGATGACTTCCATGGTTCCTCAGCCTGGCCAAAGAGCTTTAATAGGTCCCTGAATAGGAAGCATTTGCAACTTCCAGAGGTACCAGGTTAGACCATATGATGCTGACTGTTGTCATGTGGTCGCTTGTCTGTGGTGCTATAAATTGGTCCACTTCTGTTTAGCCAGCAACTCAGATCTGGATAGCAGTCAGGTGGTAAAGCTAGTATCCAGGTAAATCCATATGCTGGAATCACTTAAAATCCCCAACCTTTTTCCACATTGGTACTCCAGCAGCAAAACATTAATTCATGCTAAAAATACTCCACAAATGTGTTGAAAATCTAAGTGGAAACTCAAACACTTCAATGAACAAAAAAAGCCTTAGGGAAATTGTGGTTTAGTGAAAATCCTGGCCAGACTATATCTCCTATAATCCTGCACTGTTTATCACAGAGCCACAGAATTGTTGAGGTTAGAAGGCACCTCTGGAGGTCACCCCATCTTGCTCAAGGCAGGGGCAGCTAGGGCAGATTGCCCAGGACCACTCCCAGACAAGTCTTGTGTATCTCCAGGGATGAAGACTCCACAACTCCTTTGGGCAGCCTGTGCCAGCATTCAACAACCATCACAGTAAATCACAGTAAAAAGATTTTTCTTGTGTTCAGGTGGAACTGGGCACCACTGAGAAAAGTCTTGCTTCACCTTCTCTACACTGTCCCATCGGATATTTACGCACATCAGTAAGGTCCAGATCCTCTTGTTCATCAGGGGAGTAGTTGCTCAGCAGAGTGGTTTGGGTTAACCCAAAGAGGTAGATGAATACTGCTCAGTTTTCTGATGATCAGGTTTGAATTAGGCTTTTTTGTTTTCACCTTTTCAATTAAAATGGAAGATTAACTTTTCTTCAGAAATAAAACATTTACTGAAGAAAACCACTTTAAAATATGGCATTTAACTGAAAAATATTTTCAACACAAGATCTACTGGCTGCCCCAACAAGAAGTATCAATTTATTCCAGAGAGCTGAGTCGCCTACACGCTTTGCTGAGTCTGTTCTGTGCATTAGCAATGAGTCTAAAATGCTCAGCTCTTCAATGAAGTGCCCTTAGTCTGCCAAAACGGATGACAGAATAAAATGAGAGGGTTTTTTTTTTTTTTGAAACCTAGCACTGTTTTGGATTTTTTTTTTCCAATGCAATTAGTCTGGTCTTAACAAGCTTTCAAAATAAACAGAATTACCACTGTTTCCTAGCTGAGGAGATAAGCACAGAGGTAACACAATTTGCACAAGTCATTTGGCCAACGCCAGAAAAGAAAACAAAAAGTGGGTCTCCCAATTCTCTGCAGTTGGCTGTACAAGCTCTCTAGAAAACCCCAAAGCTGTGTGGTTAATTTTAGTTATTTCAACATGGCTGGATTAAAAATAGTTTTTATTCAATGACATAAAATAATTTTGCAGTGAAGGTCAGAACAGCAGATGTAGTATCTCTAAGCAGCAGCTAATAATCTGCTAAAAAATAAAGCAAGCTGTTATTTCTCAAGTGTACCTGGAAGCTGTGCCTAGTGCTGTGATCCATGCCTGGAAAATCCCAGCAAGGAATGAAAATGGGCTTTTCCTTGTTATCACAAAGTAGAGCAGAGGCAGGAAGATCCCTCCATGTATGAGAAGACCCACAATCACAGTGACCATGTACATGCCAAGTTGTCTAGCAACTACTTCTAAGTCCTTGATTGCAATGATTTTTCCACAGATGAGGCAAGCAATGCCCAAGGGGGAATACCTGGAGAAAGAGAACAAGCAGAGACAGAACTAGGCTTTGCAGTGTAGTCACAAAAATTGTGCTCAATAAAGTATCGACTGGAGAAGGAGTAGGGGCTCTCAGGCTCAACACCGAGATGCAGATCAGGAATTGATGGAAATTCAATGGATAGCTTTCACCTCTTTTTAAAAAATAATGGCCATCTCTAGCGAATACCCCATCTACTTCATTTTATTCCATCCCATCAAATGGAATATGCATTTTCTGAATAGACTTCGATCCTGGAATAATATCGTACAAGGATGCTATAATGTTATGCAGGCTTGGATCATTATGAAGAGTGGTGTAGCATTTGTTCTTAATACATAACTTTTACAACGCATTGCTTATCTGGTTTCAGGGAGTTGCATTATTTGCTTCAGTTAAACTATGTGTTGAAATTAATTGCTTTTATCTTGAAAGCTGCAAATATTTCCAGTATATTCTTTCAGTAATTTAGATAAAGGCTTTTTAGTTTATGGATTCTTCAATTAATTATGTGCTTTTCTTTCTTAGGGTAGGGTTTTTGTCACCTCAGTCATGTGATTTTCCAATGGCAAAAATGGAACGTTTAAATAGGATGATAACAGTACCACAGTTTAGTAATAAAAAAATCTGAAATGAGTGGATATTATTTTTTATAATTTAATAATCAGCTACAGTGAAAAATGCCTGAAGGTGCATGGATAGCAGACAATATTTATGCCTGCACTGGAAAAGGTTAGTATATTATATAATTTTAAGTGACATTCACTTTATCTGTTTTATAAAACTTAAGCTGTAAGAAAGTAATGGTGTAATATGTGGAGAAACAGTAAACAAAATGCCTCCCTGAAAATAAATGGGTATGTTTTCAAATGTAATTAGTGATTTGGATGCTTAATTAAAGACAGTACAAAGGAAACTGACTTTCAGAATAGAAGTGCTTCATGTTTTCTGTAAGAAACATCTCATGGTCTCTCAAGCAATGTGCCCAAAACCTGGAAAGCCCTCAGTCACTTGAAATGCAAGGCTAGCTGTTATACCAGTTATCATAAAAAGCCATGTTTCAATGAACTTGATGAAGCATATTTCTTATAAAGAATTACATGGTGTCAGAGCCAGATGTCTGATTTATGTTTGTGTAGCCATACCATACTCCTGAGAGACTGGGGTTGACATGGGAGTTACAGTTCTCTGTACAGAGAAATAATAAACCAAGCAAAATGTAACTGCATAAAGAATTGCATTTGTCTTTATAAGCACACATAAAAAAAACCCCTCTGCTTCTGACCACAGTTCTTTAAAAATTCTAGACAGAGATGAACAAGTGGACTTCCCAATGTCAACCACCTTTCTCATGAAAAGAGAAATAGAAGGCACATCAGTAAAAAATAGACATTTACAGTGAATATTTTGAAACTTGAATCATTTCCTGCCATTGCAACACTGACTACTAGAGCAAATGTATACTGTAGGCAAGGTATTATGCCTTGGGTGTACCAGGTGTACCATGTGAAGTAAGAGTAAATTCTAGCTCTTGGAGTGTTACAAGACTATAGCCACCGTCTCTCTGTAGAGTCAAGAGCAGCAGGTTGTAGTAACATTGAAAGCCAGCGGGCTTTGTGAATAAAAACAACTGTGTTTTTATGCAGCAAGATCACCTACAGAAAAGCAGAAGCATAACAGGAATGCAAGGTCATTGCTTCAAGTTCTTTCTTTTGTTCTACACATTTCCACATCACTGTTGCTCTCTGCATCGCTCTTGCGTAACAGCCTCCCTTTGAAACACTGACAATACTGAAGACTTGCGCTTCAGGCACCCTGCTCCCTTTGCTATAAACTGTGTCCACCTAGAACCTCAGAGAAGAGGCACACTGCAGCGTTTTAACTCGGGAAATCACAACCAGGGACACCAAGGAATCACGGGGAGCAATGAGCCATGATACATGGGTTGTATTGGAGTGGCTATTTCTGCTCTCAAAAGACCTAGGAGATACAAAAAACATTAATACAGTGCCAAATGTAGCAATACATTTTTATGTTCTGAAAAACTGTTTTTGTGTGATATGGCCACGCTTGGCACTGCATACAAATAGCTCTGGGGAAGCCCTTGGAAGATACATTAAAAAAAAAAAAAAAAAAAAAAAAAAAAAAAAAGAGAGAGAATCCCCTTCCAGAAATGTAAACAAGGGCTCAGTCTTAATTGGATGAAGTCACTCCCTTGAAGGGAAGCCAGGCCCCATTATTATGAATGGGTATACTTCAAAACCAGGACGGATACCTTCCAGTGACCCCATTACGGTGAGGTTGTAAGACACGGATTCTGCAGAAACTATGGGTGGAGGGACTACATATCACTGAAAACCATGGGAATTTTATTTGGTAGTAAAGTATTTTTACTACAGAAGACAGGGAATAAAGTGCGCCTCCAGGCTTCTTTGTAATTATACCTCCTAGCTAATACCCTGGGATTATGATAACCTCCCAGGAAGATTTGGATGTTCTTACGTGGGGCATTCTTGCTTGCTTAGGTGTCCTTCTATATAGTGAACTTCCACAATCAATGTGACATTTGAAGGCCTTTGCGGGTACCTGCAGGTCTTGGATTTCAGTAAACAAAGAACAGAATACCTTCAGAAAGATTTCAAACTGGGTCCTAATCAAATAGAAATAATGCTGCTGGCGTTCTAACATACCTGTGAAGACTTTAAAAAATGAACTAATTATATGTTATATTAGAGTTTTATGAGGTTTTTTTTAAATCTTCTTTTGTTCTAGAGTTAAAACTTCAAACTTACCACATGATCATAGTTACTAACTTCATTACAATCTCATTCAGGATGTTGAAGAAATCCACCATCATCTTGGCCTGTTCTCCCATTTTCCCCATAGCAATGCCAAAAGCAATAAAGAATCCTATCAAACCTATTGGGAAAAATTGCAAGACAAAAAAAAAAGGACATAAACCCATATTTTTTTAGGAAGTTTTTGCACCTAGTCAATGTCTTGATATTACCTGCTAATCCAGTTTTCAAAACTATAGTGTGTTACACATCTCTTGGCACTTTTAAATACAGACTCAGTTTCAACTTCCATGATCATATTCATAACATCTTTTATTCTTCAATATTTTACTAAATTCCAATTTCACAGCCCAACTATGTTTTTTTCTTTTTTCCTGAATTGATCTGATCATCAAAAAGATACCTTCTCAGTGCCATGCAACTGATAGAAACCTCATAGCCTCTGGCAAGTGGGAGAGGCAACACAACCAACTCTTCTTTGTTGCTAAAACAGTCACTAGAGACCAAGAGTGGTTTTTTCAAGCTTTACAAAAGTCCGTTGACAGATTCAACCTACAAACTAGTCAGTCCTGAAGTACAGGGGAAGGCAAAAGCAGCCCCAGAACGTAACTTTCACAGGCCAGGAGTATTCCAATTAAATGAAGAAGGTGGAGGTGGGAGGAGGAGTTGCGTATTACACTTTAAGCTAAACCACAGAACTCCCACTAAACAGATTAACCTCACTGAAAAGAGCTATCAGTGGATACATAATCATAGAATTCAATACGAGTAACATTTGACTCCTAAATTTAAATGTTAAGGTGCGAAAGTCTGGAATATTGGACTGTCAGTGTGAAAAACCAACCAAGTGCATCTGTCTTGTACTACTGTGTCTCCAATGCTAACCTTTACCATCCAGCAATTTTCAGTGCCCAGAGTGGGATTATTAACTGCCAGTGACAGATAGTTTGAATCTTCAGCCACCCTTTGAGGCTAAACTTTCAGTCATGACATGAGTTCAGTATTTAATACATGTGTGAACTCAGCTGGGGAATTCCTAAGGAAAAACCCGTCAGGACACAAAAGCCTTCAAAAGAAGGGAACTTCAGCTCCCAGTACTCTGGGAAAAGACAGGATGTCCCATATCCTCACACTGGGTTTAACCACCAGACTATTTCTTTTTTTTTTTTAATCCAATCTCCTGGATATAAAGTCATTCTTGAGCACCAAGCTGTCTTTGTTGAGTCACTTGAATAGGGAAGTGAAGTGTATGTTTGCATGCTGCAGCTCATAGAGAAATGATGAAAAGCTTTTCAGTCAAAGACCAAGTAACTTCCTGGAATTCAGACTCTGAATCAGAAAATGTTAGTAGGTGGTTTTGTTCGTTAATTCCAAACAAGCTGCTACATTAGTCATAAAAGTCAAGTTGGTTCATATTTGCAGGAATTTGCCTGGCTTGTACAGTTTATGCAAGCTGGATGGCAATTCTGCAACATTTTCACATCTTCATTCAAAACCAAAGCACACTAACTCAAACAACTCTACAATATTTGGGAGTCATTGGTCAAAATACTACAGCAAATCCTCCATATTAACTGTGCATTTCCTTTCTGTAGGAATTGTATTCAGCCTTCTAGCTCTTTTCTTATCCCTGAGAACCTGCACAAAACAAGTCCAGCACTAAATGAAAGGCATCTCTCACCTTAATTTTAATGCACAAGCAGAGCTCCAGGAGAGAAAAAGCAGGTGAGGGTAACAGCATGAGCAATGCGCTGCTGCCTCACGCAGGGTGCAAAATGCCAATTTGCAGCTTTGAAAGAAAGCGGCTCCTCTGCCCACAGATGGTGAATGGAAGGAGGAGCTGTGGAGGCAGGCAGAACACAGCGGCTCCTGGCTCTTGTAGAGCAAGCTGCTTCAGAGAAACAAATCATCTCTGATCAGCTTACTCCCATGCTATCTCCCCTATGTTTAAGCTAAGCAGCCACTGCCAACCAACTCACCAACACTTGGAGAAGCTTTGCAGGCACAGCAGCCACTGCGTCAGCAGGAGCAGCTCATCAGCTGTAAGGAGTCTGTAAGGTGCTATTTGTCCCTAAAAAGTGATGGCTTAGGGGTGAGATAAACCCGTGGTTTAGGTACTGCCAGATACTGTCCCACTTTGAGGATGGCACCTACAAACACACGTGTCAGTCTCAGCCCTGTGGACATGCTGTGACAGAGCATGTGTATTGTCAAATGTAGGTGTGCCAACAAGGCTACAAATTTGTGACTGACTTCACACACATCCAGAAAGTAAGAAGGTGAAGAAGGAGCTGGGCTGACAAAACAGTGAGTCTAGGCACAGAGGAGAAAAGAGAGCTGGTGTGGCAGCTCTTTGTTCCCTCACGCCCCCACCCCAGTTCAAACAGGTGCTTCAGGAAGGGGTGGGAGATAGGCAAAGCCTTCATACCACCCCCACTTGCTGGCTTGTCCAGACAGGCTGGCACAACGGCAGATGTTCATAATTTGCAACTGGTAAAGGTCAGCAGCCAAGATGAAAGGAGGGATTTGTGACTCAGAGATGTGTCAAGCCTTTCTGGGATTTTTCTTGGGCGGTGCGGTTCACACCCCACCTCTCACTTCAGGCTCTGCCTCAAGCCAAATTCTAGTTCAGCATGCCCGAGACACCTACTGGAAACAACTGAGCTCAAATTCATCAGGGGGTGGGTAAAGCACTGGCTCTTGAAGCTCTCCCCCATGCTGTTTTGCCAACATGTGTTAGTATTAGGCTAGGTAGGCTACTTCTAGGATGAAAGGATTATTTTGGGTATCTCCCACATGCTTCCTCACAGTACTCCAATTAGTACCTGCAAAGCTGCCAATCCAGGATAATTCACTTGATTATTTCTGTGATACAGTCATATTTCTAGCAAGACCACTAGATTTTCATCTCAGAGACCAATGAGCAACCATAGGTGATAACATTTGATGATTATCTGGGGAGACTAAACTTGCGCTGAAGAGCAGATGAGAAAACACTGGCCACCCAGACCAATTGCTGTGTCATACATGTACATGTTTGACAGAAAAAAGTTTTCCCTACCCAGGACATTCATGCCATCCTTAAATTCAAGTCCCTTCTTAATGACCAGCTGGGCTTCTGGTGGTGCTTCATTCACTGTCTCATTCATCATAGCAAAAGCTGAGTCGGTGACATTAGGTGGTTCTTCAATGGGTGGTGGCACCAGCACTTTCTTGGTGACAGTTTGGATCTGAAGGAAATAAAAAGGCAGGATGAGAACGGAAACAGACTGAATGTAATCCATATGGGAGATTAGGAAATAATAATAAAAAGTCTTTATTTGAAATTCCAGGGAACTAGCTTTTTAAAGGATAAGACATGCATTCCAAAACCTCTTACCCCCTCTTCCAAAAATAAGTTTGTTTTTCAATACTTCCAAGTGTCACAAAGTCCTGGGAGTCTTCCTCATGACTCTAGTGTGAAAAGCATGGCAAATACTTGTTCCTTACCGCTATGTTCTAACATTTTACAGATAGTTAGCCCCTTTGTCCAGATGGTTCACAAATGGTGCTTCACAGATTGTGTTACATGTTGCTACCATTTCTTTAGCACCAAAAGGCACCCCTAAGATCAGCCACAGCAGCAGCTCTGCAGTAAGGCTTGTTATTCAGGATGGTCTGCCCAGCTCAAGTTATCATAGTTTGATGGTTAACTTGAATCAAAAACTTAGGACATTTCCAACACTTCACTTGGTGACTGCAAGAGCTCAAAATGGAATACACACAGGTCCCTAAGCTCTCCAATTAAAATATTGTGAGTGACAGATAACAGAAAAAATATCAAAGGCGCCAGATACCTATTAAATCAAATCTGACCACCTCAAAATAGAAGACAGCAATACTGAATGTATCTGAACCCTCCTGGCACATGAAAGGCAGGGTCAAGGGCAAGCTGGGAAGGAATGGTATGGGGGAGAAACGGGCTTGAGTTTACTGCTAGGAAAAAAGGGAGGAGGGACTGGAAAGAGAAATCTGTGACTTCCTGCTTGTAGAAGGGATGTTTTTCTCCCACTTCACACCTTGAGCCTTTCCTGCCTCTTCATGGCTCTGGGACAGGCAAAATGGTTAGGAAGCCATGACCGGTTTGCCATGGTTTCCCATCTGCTCCCTACATTTCTTGTGGACCTTACAAAAATTCAAGAGATATTGAAATCCCATGATGGTTCAGCATTCAGTTTGCAAAAGAACTGTCTCAAAATTGCAAGTGAATCCCTTCATTGCTTTCTGCCTGGTCACAAGGGAGGGAGCGTAGAACTCCCCCACTGACCACAGCTACACAGTACTATTGCCATACACCCTTAACAAATCATTCTTTGCAGGATTTCTGCAAAAAATTGCTTCCTCCTAAGGCAACCTGAAAACACTGAATGCTTGTGAAGAGAGTCTGTATAAATGGAGGAAGAGGAAATACATGCTGACACCATTAAAAGCAGTTAATTTTTCTCCTAAATAAAGAGACAAGTAAAGCCTAACTCCTTACTGAGGAGTAAAAAAAAAGTGTTAAAAGAAAAAAAGTTTAAAAAAAGGAGTAAAAGGCACAAGTTCCATCTGGAAAAGAGTGCTACTTACTTTGCACATGAAAGGTGGCTTTGTGGCAGAGACTTTCACTGGCAATTAGTTTGGAATCTGATAAAATTAAACATTGGAAAATCAAAAAGCTCAGTGGCTTTTTTGACTAAGTTTAAAAAACAATCAATGGAATTGGTGATCCATAACTAGTGGAGAGACCTGAACATTGATATACAAACTGAAAAACCAATATTAAGGTTCCAAGAAAACTATCTGACTTGTGTAGCTTAATTCTTCTTTCTCCTGCTTTTTGTCCCTTTGTTGAGATATTGGACCACTTTCAAGAGACCAGAAATGTAATTCTCCTCTCTTCCACAGTTCAAACGAGGGAAAGGAAGAAAAAAACCATAAGCACCCTGCTCTCCCCTCACTCAATTTTGCAAAAATACATTTCACATTGCATGTGATGTTTACCCACCCACAGTTCAACCACATGACTGACATTCTCATGATGATTTGGAAATATTGAGAATGTTCTCTCTTTAAACCCCCAAGGACTATGTGTTTTTATATGGAAGTCCATGGAAGAAGTGAAGCAATCCAAGCCCTTTTGGCAGCTTAGTTTGCCCTCCATTCTTCTACCCCCCATGGCCTCTTCTCCCTTCCCCCTCTTCTCTTCACTTTATTCTTTGGCCATAACCGCAGCTCCAGCTATCATGCCATTTCACATAGGAACACTTAAGAACAGCTTTGGCAACAAACCCTGTTCCATCCAAAAAAACCCCCAAAATTCTGCATTATTGCCAAACAATTTAGTTGTACGAAAAAAAAGACATCTTACATACAAGAAATACGCTTAAGCAGAAATTAGGAAGCATGCATTTTTTATTTATTTTACCCTTCAAAGTGAACCTCCTTTTGATTAAGCATTGGTGAAAAGCTTTTAGACAAAATTATCTACCTACAGAGCAAGCAAACACATGGCACAAACATCCTCCTTCCCCAGCATGCTTCAAACCTGGCCTGATGGAGCCACCTGTAGGTGGGTCAGCCACTTGACTGTATTATCCCCACCTAGTCTCGACTCTAATACAGCAAAAGAAGTTATGAGAAGTTGGGGTTTGGGGTACATTTCCACTGGCAACCAGCTGGAATGAAGATCACCCATATATTACAAACAAAGCATTGCAGAACCATCAGCTCTGTAACTAACAACCAAGACCAAATTCAACTTGGGTGAAAGATCCTGTAATTCATCAGCTGTTTATCCCCAAGCCAGCATTCATGGCCAAATATATTGTGTAAAAAGTTAAATATTCTTTTTAAAAAATCTATGAATTTAAATAACTCCAACATAAACCAAATCAACTATAAATAACATTCTTTCATTTACCTGCTCAAGACCTAAGACCTGTATTACTCTTTGCATCATCACTTCTGTCATTCACCTAAAGAACGACACTAACTCTGCAGATATCCCTAGTAAGTAAAAGATGTAAAAAATATTATCGAGGAGAAGAAGGATTTACCTGCTGAAAGCATGCTTGGACTAGATTTTCAGGGAACAGGTTTCGGATCAGATCCAAGAAAGCATCCAGACTAGATACTTCATCGTTCTTCTTCCCTTGACCAAGCTGTTTCTTGAGTTTCGGATTCCCTGGATGGATGGCTAAAACCAAAATCACCCCCAACACAGCAGCAATAATAGTGGTGGACATGTAGTAGACCATGGCTCTTGTACCCAATCGGCCACTTGCTTTAGCGTCTAAACCAGACAGTCCTGCAGGTGTTTTATTTTAAGAAACAAACAAATATATTGAGACTCAATATCCAGTTCAATAACCACCAAAAATAAAAACCCTTCTATTTTTCAAAGTTTAATGACTGCCTACAGGTGCCTACTTTTGTCCTTGGGAAATTCTCACCACTAGATAGATTACTGAAATTTCTCCCTCCAGTTCTTATGTGAACAATATCTGCTGCTTCTAATTTGAAGAGAACCATTTAAGATTCCACCTAATCACAGGGGACGCATACCTTTTGCCCTTGATTGCTGCAGCTGGTCATGGTCTGGCTGACACCACAGCTTTAAGAAGACTAAGCTTGCTAGTTTATGCCATCTTATTTGCAAGATCAAACCCAGGAATTAGGTGAAACAGTGTACTGAGAAATTTCTGATGTTCAAGAAGGTTGTATGTGTGCATGTGTTTGAAAACAAATTCACTGGAGCATCTACATATTAAAGCCAATGAAGTGAATCAGAAATTAACTCTGAAATACACACTGCAGCTGCAAAATCCCTGACAGGATCACGCTGTTATTCTTCCTACATCACAAAAAGCAAACCAGGTGATATCTGTAGCAAGCATCTTAAAGTATTTATGGCTAATAGATCTTACCTGTGATTAAACTGGAGATAATTAAAGGGAGGATCAGCATTTTTAGCATCCTCATAAGTATATCTCCTGGGAAGCCTATTAACATGATGATGTCGGGGTCAATAGGTGTTGCTAGACGAAGAAGACCCCCACACACGGCACCCAGGATGACACCTGGAAGAAGAATAAAAGAGAGCAGGTAGGTAACATAAATATACCTGAATACACATTGATTACCCAGAATTATAGCACAGAAGAAAAAATGGTTACATGAGGCAGCTGATATTTGGTACAGAAACAGATTTTGGAAAACTTGGCCTTCTGTTTAATATGAGGCTGTAACATGCTTACCATGTATCTCATGATTAAAGAGAAGCAGTCCTGATGTAGAATCTTCTGCCAGCTGAACTGACACCTAGTGTACTATTCTGCTTCTGCAAATACAAATTTGCTGCAAACCACAACGTTGTTGAGATTTATTAATACTGTGTAGGCCTTGCAATACATTGAAGGACAGTCAAATATAATTTATATCATAATTCTACAGCTGGTAAAATTGAGGCACCAAGAGGTGAAGTGATTTATGTAAGGCCATACAGAACTGACAGAAGAGCCAGACTTAGGACCCAGCTCTTTAGAGTACAACATCTAGCTCTCAACATAAGAATGGTACCACTCAAAAACAAGGTCAGTATGAGTGGCTCTTTTACAGCCTAAGAAAAACCCTGCAGGAAGCTAGAATAGTCTTGTGAGGAAAACAGATCTGGGTTTCATTTGGGGGGTTTTGGAAGGGAGTGCCTGATCTGGAATAATGCACGCATCATTGAAGAAAACTTGATACTTAGTACTCATTTATTACTCCTTCCCTCTGACAGTCTGCATCCTTCTCTTCCCTTTGTGCTAATGTTCTCAAATCACAAACACCCCCTTCATCATTTATTTAGATTTGTACTGTGGTAACACCTAAATCCCTCTCTCAGGACTTAGGCTGTTAAAAAGCATAGTCTTGAAGAAAAAAAAAGGCCATCTTTACTTTCCTAACATGGTCTTTGTGAACAGATATTTTACATTGACATCCAGGATGCTTTTATTTCCCTGATCCCAAGCCCAAGTCTCAAGTGCAACAAAACAACAGCAAAGCCTGAGTTCTGATTTGCAGCGGCTATGATTCTTTGAAGTATCAGTTTGATACAATGCAAAATATATATGCATTTAAGACTCTTTCTGGAACTGCATCAGGTACCTTCTAAAGATGATTCAAAGCAAATACTGTCTAAACACTTCAGCAGTATGAGTTCTGAATTCTGAAAAATATGGATGTGAAATTTGAGGCTCAAGACCAGCTGCAGCTGGTCTTTCAAACAGTAACAAAATAGAGTATGTCTATGAATTTGCTGCATTTGGCTGTTAGAGTTTCAGTGAAAAAGAAACAGGCAATGAGCCAGTGAACCACAATAAAATGTCAAACTGTTCCATATTTGGAAGCTGCTAAAGCCAGAGGCAATATTCAGGATGAGATCACGGAGCGCTGGCTTACAGCTACAGAGAGGGGGGACAAGCCTTAAAAACAGCAGAGCATGAACTGAGAGATAAAAGATGAAAGAAAGGAAGTTTTGAAGAGTTTTTGTCTTTTTCTTTTTCTTTTTTTTTTTTTTTTTTTTTTTTTTTTTTTTCTTCCAAATAACCCAGAGTAAAAATGTGTAATGTGTTTAGTTCTACTCTTGGATATGGATCTGACTGGCCTCAGGACTTGGATCACACTCGGTTCAAAACCAGATACAGAACATATCTCAGTGGTGTGGATGTGTTCCACGTTGTGTCAGTAATACCCTGCACATCTGACCTGAAGTGACAATGCCTATGGGCATCCTATTTGCTCTCTGGCTGTTCAGCTGCAACAGCCGATGACCACAGGCAGGGTCTGCAGTACTGCGTGAGCAAACACAGATACCCACAGAACATCCAGACCAGCAGATGTAGCTTACCAAATACAGTGAGAGTCAGGAGCAGATTCCTCTGGAGCGACTGGCAGAACTGCACACATATGTTCCTGGATCTGTGCTCCACTGGACTTAAATGGCTTTCATGCATCCGCACTTCTACTTGCTTAGGCATATTGTTGGCACTAGAATAAAAAATGAAAACCAAGTAAAAGTTATAGCACAAGATGCCAAGAGTGAGAAGAAAGTCTGGATTACTTCCTTCATATGTGACTGAGGGATCTGATGCATATTCCATTGCTTCCCACATTTCACAAACCCTGTATATTTACTGCTCAGAAGAAGTCTCCGAAATGGCAATGGTTTGTCCTTCTAAAGGTGTAGCCTTTCAGGGATTTTTTTGTGGCTGTCTCTCAAACGGTGGAGACGTAAAAAGAATTAATTCACTGCATATATCATCCCAACTGTTTCATGGACTAAACTATTGGTCTTGAGCTGGAAACTTCAGTTACCCCAACGCTCATGGCTGTCTGCTTAAGTAGGAGAGATGGCTGAAAAACAAAGTTCCTATTAGCAGGAAAATGCAGATGTTAATACCTTACTTAGCTCCAACTGAAGAAAAGAGTTTAAAAATTAGGATTTATTTGCAAAATAAAGCATTCCAGAGTACTTTCCTTCATCTTCCCAAAACGTTTCATTTCAACATTAACATTTAATTGTAATATAATCAGAATGCTGAGGTCAAAAGAATCTTTTTCAACTTTGTTCTAATGAGACTGCAGTTGAACAACTGCCACCGAAAATTAGTCAGAAAACTATGCATCCCCCCAAGAAAACCTTTGGTTTCATTGAGTTGGCAGTGTTTAGAGGAAAGTTTTTTCACTAACTCTGGTTTATATTTGAGTAAGTGATATGCACAAGTGCAGAACTTTGAAAGCCATGACTCTAACTTTCTCAGTGCCTGAGAAATCATTAGCAATAGACTCCCTTTTTATATACAAAATATTAAAATGTACTTGAAAAAATACTAAAAATTTACTACAAATAAAACATAAAATTTCACTAAAAGTTCAGGCTCTCTACTTATATTTAAGAAATGGGTAAAGAACAGATTTTTTATTATCAAGAAAATATGTATTTTGAGATGTGGTTTTATGCCAGATTAAGACAAGATTTTGGAAAAAGGAAACCAAATCTTCCTCTACAACAGTAGACTGAGGTCTACAGACCTAAAACAGGTCTGAAAAGATGCATACAATTTTGATGTTCTTAGTAGGGAACTATTTCCAGGGAATCAAAATGGTTTTTTGTTACATAGAGTATATATAATATAGCTTGTTGTCTTCATAAAGTTTCTCAACAGAAAGTTAAGATTAGACCTGCAATAAGAACTCAGTCACTTTGATGCAAATAGTTGCATGATGTTCCCTTTCCAAGTGAAACAGCTTTTCTTTCCAATACATTTGGGCACCACCAGAAAATGCATTAGAGGATTTTCTTTTTTTTAAGGGGGAAAAAACCCTCCAAGTGTTGTTTTTATTTTGTACATTTTTAAAATATTTTACAATGGTGGTTGCAACAAAATGTACTGCTGATGGTGGAATAACAAACAAGAATATCAGTGCACATTCTGACAGATGAAATGGGAGGCATGGCTACTTCTTGAAGACTTATGAATGCAAGTATCAGAGGTACATAAGGATTAGCAAGGGGATATAATGTGCATAGCACTTACTTGAGGAATTACAGAAAGATGGGACAACATCTGCAGTTTTCATGCACATGGGCCACAAAGCCATGAAATCACTGGTGGAATTGTGCCACAAAATCAAGGAACCTGGGATACAAACTTTGCAGCTGGGGATTACACCTAGTTTCACTTGTACTCTGACCATGAATGTACAACTTGTTTAGACCTACTGTTTGTTACAGGTTGATTATATACCCTCTGAAACTTTGAAATAGGAACAACTGAAAGCAATTCAAAAGAAAACCTCTCATTAGCAAATAATTAGGCAGAACTGGCATGGACCAGTAAACAGAAGCACTTGATGATGTTACATCTTTCTCGGATTTTGTTTTGGGCTAGGCTTAGTCTAGTTCCTGGACCCTTTTCCACCTGAAGCCATGCCTATAGCTTCATACCATTCTCCTGGTTTCAGCTGGGTTAGAGTTAATTTTCTTCCTAGTAGCTGGCATAGTGCCGTGTTTTGGATTTAGGATGAGAAAAATGCTGAACTTACTGATGCTTCAGTTGTTGCTGAGCAGTGCTTAGATTAGGCGAGGACTTTTCAGCTTCCCCTGCTCTGCCAGGTGCACAAGAAGCTGGGAGGGAGCACAGCCAGGACAGCTGTCCCCAACTGGCCACAGGGTGATCCAGACCATGTGGCATCATGCGTGAGGGAACTTAGTCAGGGGGGAGAGCAATTGTTCCTCCGGATGGGCTGGGCATCGATGGTGGTGGCATTTGTCTTCCCAAGTAACTGTTACACGTGATGGATCCCCGCTGTCCTGGGGATGGCTGAACACCTGCCTGCCCATGGGAAGCAGTGAATGAACTCCTTGCTTTGTTGTGCTTGTGCACGTGGCTTTTGTTCTCCCTATTAAACTGTCTTTATTTCAACCCATGAGTTTTCTCACTTTTACTCTTCTGATTCTCCCCCCCCATCCCACTGTGGGAGAGCGAGTGAGCAGCTGGGTAGGGCTTAGTTGCCGGCCAGGGTTAAACTGTGACATTGTCCAAAGGAAAGCCACCTCAAAAATATCTGCTTCCTCAGCTGTGGGTCTTTTCTCTAATTCACAGACAACAAAGCGTATCACTCCCCTGACACCATTGCTGAAATAAGTCCTCCCATGCAGAAGCAGGCCTCTGGTCCTGCTCTTGTATTCAAGCCTTATTTCTATTCCCATCCATTTCTAAGCAACAGCAGTGTTTGCTGGCCAGATGCCCCTTCCACTCCAAGTCTGGTCAGCACACAAACAAACGGTTATGAAGGGAGGGGATGGTGGACCTGCTCCCACAGCTGCAGTGACTACTTCAGGATTATGCCCCAAGTGAACTGCAGCCAGCCCTGCTTGAGGCGGTCAAACAACACAGAGCTTTTACAGGATAGCAACCGGCTTCAAAAGTTTGGCCATGTAAAATGTAGATATCCAAATACCCTCTGAGAAGAGAAGGAAATGAGGCCACAAATCTCTTTAAGGACATCCCTAAATTTCCAGGAACTTAATACCGTATTGTGTGCTTCCCCCAAGTGCAAAGTATGGGTTTTACACTCTCCAGCTCTTCAGGATTGTAAGTGAATCTTCAGCATGGACTGAAATTCTGATTGGTATGGGTTTTTTAAAGAAAAATACTCGATGCTAAAATATGCTAACCACGCAGATCTCTTACAAAAAGTGTTGACAGATGAGTATCATCACATGAACAATGGTACCACAAAGGACAAGGATCTAAGCATTTGCACTGTTAGCACTGCTCTAAGCAATGAGATTTTTATCACCAGACCAGAGACAAAGTATTGTTCCAGGCTTTCGAGTATGTTGCTGGGGGGAGGGAAAAGGAAACAATAATAATGAAATAAAAACCTTCTGTGAAGGATAAGAGAACTTTCTTGTGTACCACATGACAAAATCAGTAGTTTGCACCAGAAATTTTCTATCCAATTACAATCTGTTTGACCTCTGAATCATGGAAATTAACTTTTGTCTTATGGACTGAGTCATCCTCCTTGTGCTGTTTTTATGCCTCTATTTGCATCTTGTAAATGATATTTAGCTCCAGAACAACGCAGAACTTTTTGCACCTGAAACCTGCAGTCACATAATGACATAACTGCAAGAAGTTCCTACTGAAGTCAATGGAAGATGCACAGATGCAAGTTAGGGCAGAATCGGGGCCCTTATGGACCGGATCCCCCTGGATCTGTCCTACTCCTCTGCTGTCTTGTCACTGACATTACTGCATGCTCACATGCGCAGCTTTCTCTGTACCATGAAGGCCACAGTGCGACGTTAAAGCATGCAAGAAAGGGGCTTAAATATGTGTAAGGCTTTCTTGTGCTTCAGATTTTCTTGACGAAGGCAAAATTAATGCATGACAGAGTGGAGCTTGACTGTACCCCAACTCATGGGCAATGCTGGGACTAAAATGAAAATCCAGAAGTGTAGTAACAACATGAGCCCCTCCTACACAACTGAACACTGCTAATATAATCTCTATGTTAATGGTACTTCAAACACACAAATGATTACCTTGGTTAAATAAATTATTGTTCCACTGTGCTGAGCTTCTGTGGCTGTTCAAACAAATGGAGCGTTCTGAATGCTTGTCTGAAATCCATCAGACCCAAACCTCTTTTAGTCTAATTTCACTGAAGCCAGAACATGATAATACAAATACATTCTGCTCATTATTTTCATGTGTCATGGTGACTAGCAGCCAAACAGCTAACCTCCAAAGTAGGCCCACAGAGAACTGCAAGAAGTGAGACCTTCAGAGAAGGTAATATTTTCTGCCAACTTCAAGTGCTTGAAAACATTGTCAGGACTTATAAAAAAATGAACCAAATATTGGAAAGTGTGTAGTCACGTGACACAGCACATACCAAGATCTAAACATATGTGGTGGCTTTGAAATGATTGAGTATGATCTTCTGCCTAGCCCAGTGCCACCTACACTTCTCCCTTATGAGGCAGCACTGTCTTTGTTTTGGCTGGGACAGAGTTAATTTTCTTCCTAGTAGCTGGTGCAGTGCTGAGTTCTGGATTTAGTAGAAGACTGTTGATAACACACTGATGTTTCAGTTGTTGCTGAGCAGTGCTTACACCAGTCAAGGACTTTTCAGCTTCCCCTGCCCTGCCAGGGGCACAAGAGGCTGGGAGGGGGCACAGCCAGGACAGCTGACCCCAACTGGCCCAAAGGCTACTCCAGACCATATGGCATCATGCTTAGCATATAAAGCTGGGGGAAGAAGAAGGAAGGGAAGGACGTTGGGAATGATGGGGTTTGTCTTCTCAAGTCACTATTACACACGATGGAGCCCTGCTTTCCTGGAGATGGCTGAGCACCCGCCTGCCCATGGGAAGTGGTGAAGGAATTCCTTGCTTTTTTGCTTGAGCGCATGGCTTTTGCTTTACCTACTAAACAGTCTTTATCTCAACCCATGAGTTTTCTTACTTTTAC